AGTGCTAGTAAATCGGATAAAGTTGGTCTTGCCGACGTTATTGCTCCTAACCAAAGCAATTTTATTTCGGGAAGACCGCTCCATGACAATATGGTAGTTCTTCAAGAGGTTGTCCACTCTTTGCAGCATCGATGCGATAAAAAAGGTTGAATGATTTTGAAGATTGATCTGGAGAAAGCGTACGACCGGTTGAGGTGGAGCTTTATCAAGAATCCTTACATTTAGCTCATTTTTCTGGCATTTTGGGTCTCTTTGATATTGAAATGTTTAAATGCATGTAAGATGCGTGTTCTTTGGAATGGTTGTCTGTCGGATACCTTCTCACCTACTCGAGGTGTTCGTCAAGGTGATCTGATCTCTCCGTACCTTTTTGTTTTGGGTTTGAAAGATTAGGCCACAGTATCTCAAGTTAAGTTGCTTAAAGGAGATGGCGTCCTATTAACATTACTAAGCATGGCCCAACTCTCTCCCACTTGTTCTTTACAAATAACCTTCTCCTCTTTGTTGAAGCTTCCATTGAGCAAATCGAGATTATTTGGGAGTGATTGAATGAGTTTATCTTGGCATCGGGCCAAAAAGTCAACTTGCAAAAATCTCGTATCTTATTCTCTCCTATTGTGGACCCCATTTTGTGTAATTAGATTTGTAGCGAAGCAGGTATGGCCATGACTAATGATATTGGAAGCTACCTTGGCATTCCAATTTTCCATGGAAGAACTCATTAGGTTGTTTTTTATCCTCTGTTGGCTAGAATTGACAAACACTTAGTTAGTTGGAAAGTGAGTTGCCTGTCCTTTGCGGGTAAAGTTACCCTAGTGAAAGCAGTTTTGACTTCTCTTCCTAATCATGTCATGTAATCGGTCTACATGCCTTGAGCGGTTTGTGATGAATTTGATAAGAAGATTAGAAATTTTATATGGGGTGAGTCTCAGGGACATTGAAAAGTTCATCTTGTTAATTGGCAGCAGTTAATGTTACCACTGTCTCATGGGGGTTTTGGTATTAGATCATGTCAGAAAATGAATGACTCGTTTCTAGCTAAGCTAGGCTAGAGATTGCTTACGAATGATCACACTATCTAGACTTCTATTTTGCATAAGAAGTATATGGTAGGGCACTCGGATATTTCGCACATTGTGGATAAATAGAATGCATATAGTAAATCAGTCCCAATTTTAACAAAGGGGCTGTATAAAACAATTTATAATAGGAGAATAACTAATTTTTGGTAGGATGTTTGGGTGGAGCAAGTGCCGCTCATTAACTTTGCTTTACAGGAGATCTCGATGGATTATTATGAGCAATTTGTTGCTTTCCTTTGGAGCGGTAATTTATGGAAGTGGGACTATATTGTCCCTTTATTGCCTGAAGATCTCTGCCTTAAGCTGGAAGCTATTTCGCTAATGGAGGATGCTCACATGATGGATTCGATTACTTAGAGACACACATTGAATGGTTGTTTCTATATCAAATCAGCTTATGCTCTTACTAAGAGCTTTCCTTAGTCTCCTACAGGGGCCATTGGGAAGTCTGTATGGCACATCAAATTGTCGCAGCATTTTCATGCTTTTATCTGGTTATTACAGCACCAGAAGCTCATGACGAATCAAGAAAGGGCTCGAAAGGGGTTTTACCTTAAATGATCTTTGTGGTATTTGTGGTATTGCAGTTGAATCGTGTGAACATGTCCTCTAGGACTGTGATTATGCAAAGCAGTTACGGGCTAGGATGCTTAATGCTAATTCCCTTGGTTTGTTTCTATCTTGTAGTATTTCTAATTGACTAAAGCTGGCTAACTCCCTGATTTTTACAGAGAATATTAAGTCCAGCCCTTGACATGCTTTTTTGCAAGTGCATGAAATCACAAACAAGTAATAAAGAGTGAGTAGAGTATCGTTCCTACAAGGATTGTATACCAAGTACCAAAATTGTGTTAACTTAATATTATTTAAACGACAATAAGGAGAATTATTTTAAGAAATTAAATTAAAAGAAATCAAGCAAGACAATTTGATGAAAAGAAATCAAGGATTAAAAACTATTAGGGACAACACCCTTAAGGAAAAATGGAACATTCAGGAAATCAAGGCCATGTTGATACAAGAGGAAGGGAGATTAAAGAAATTGAAGGAACACTCCATCAATCTTTCCAATTTATTTTATTAGTTTGATAATCAATTTTAATTGTTCAAGTGGAGGAAACAACTCTAAAATCACTAACAAGCTCCTTCGATATGTAGTTAGCTATTTTAACTCGGTCTAAGTATATATCTTCCAATAGTGCAATCAAACATGAATTAAATCATTAAGTTTTATGGTTTGTTTATGAAGCCATAGCCTAAGGTCGTTAACTTATGAAAATCCCTACGAGTATAGCTCCTGCATCAAATTATTATTTTCATGTAATTTATTACCATTTTCATATTAAAAATCCTTCTCTCGATAGTGCATAAAATAAATCAATCCAGGGAGAAAACTCTGCCTGGAAGCGTTAATTTCAATAATGAATTATACTTTGAAAAAAGAAAACCAAATCTAATAATAAATTGGAATAGAAATTAAGCTACATCCCTAAAAGCATTAAGTTCAATAATAAATTATACTTTGAACAAAGAAAAGCAAATCTAGTATTATAAATTGGAATCGAAATTAAGCTATATCAAATTCCTTGTATGAGAGTTTAGTTCGACATAGTAATTAAATACAACTCAATTAAACTTGTAAATAATCCCATAAAGAAAAATAAACAAAAAGTGAGTTTATAAATAAAAATTAGTCAACGATAAGCTTGAACGACTTCCTTGAATATTGCACCAATTATGAGCACTTAAAGTTTTTAAGAGAAAAAACTATGTATAAAATAATAGAACAAAAGATGGAATATACAATGAATGGATTCGACCTCCGATCATGGCTAGTCTCTCTCTATGTGACTTTCTGGAATATCTTCGTGTTTGTTTAGAAAAGTGAATCTCTATCGAGTAAGAAATCTTTTGGAGATAGGAAAATGTTTAGATTTTGTATTTCTTCCCAATTAGAACTCTCCCAGCATCTAAATAAGATTTAAACTTGATTGGCACGTTAGAAAATGATCTCATACGGGTCCATGCAAGCGGCACAGGCTAGAGTTGTCGTTTTCGGCCCAATATGAAATCAGGCATTCAGCACAGACGTGCTATCTGGGATAGCTTGGGCATGCTAGACTTTGAACCTCTATTGAATTTACCTTGAACACAGCACGGGGTGCTAGATAACACGCCCAGTGCGTGCTAGCCTTTTCTGTATTTTTGGCTAATTTTATATAAAAATTCAATAAAACTCTCCAAGATCAAGTGGAATAGAATTCAAGGAAGCTCTAAACAAAAACTTAAATAAAATTAAATAAAAATTAATTAAAATAATTAAAAATACTAAAAATTTTAATAAAAACTATATTAAAAATACCGTAAAAATAACCGTATCAGCGCTCTTTAAATATTTTGCATCATGTTATGGTGGAACTATAAATGGCGAAATGATGTCAACAATTGCAGGCATTCTATTAGTGTCTGTCTCCATATGCTCCATTTCCAAGTTGCTTCTAATACGTCAGCTTGGGATATATCCTCTCAAGGTACAGGTGTCAGGCTGAATAGTGTGGTCCCATTTTCTTGGACTTCTCCCTTGCCTTGTTGGTATAATCTCAATACGGATGGGGCTTCTAAAGGTAATCCATGCCGCAGTGGTGGTGGTGGCGTGATCCGAGATCATTTGGGTGTTTGGAAGGCTGGATATATGGTTTCCATGGAGGCTGAGCTTTAAGCCATTATTCATGGTTTAAATACTGCTTGGAGCCTTTGATGTCATCAACTTATTGTTGAAATGGACTCTCTTTTTTCATTGAACCTTATTCGATCTGGTTCGGTGGTAAATCTGAGCCCTACAAATAGTAAAATCACGATTCATTAATAATTTCATTTTGATTGATTCACATTTCTGTTTATTCATATTCGATAATTGTTTTTTTTTCTTTTTTTTTTTTTTTGAATGGTACTATACTCTTTTTTTTATTATTAATTTACAATTTCATGTATTTTCGAATTAGGGCACATCATTAATATGAATTCAAAAATATTATTTCTTTTAGTGTCTCGATATTCAATAGTGCTTCTCAATAGATTGAATCCTAGTTGATAAGTAAAGCGAATTCACATAGTAATTGAACTGATCTGTTAGATAAATTATTCCCTTTTTCTTTTTTTCTTTTTTTTTTTTTTTGATAGGAAATATTATAATAGACTTTCAACAATTATTTCTTATTGCTTTACAGTGCATGAATTAACACAAAATTATATAATTTTATTTATTTTTATATATCACTTCTTATTAAGAGCATCTGTCCATTCAGACCATTTAAAGCTTTAAAGCATTAATGTATGGAAGGGGAATCTTCTCTTGGAAAAAAAAAAGTAAAAATAATATTTCAAAAACCTATATTTTCTTTAATTTCATCTATAGATGAGCCATGGATATAGTTTAAATAAATTTAATCTTGAAATAAGATTAATTTTTCTAATATTAGTGTCTTGAATTAAATAAAACATAAAGGGAAAGAAAACCATATATCTTCCCTAAATGGGTAATTGTAAAGGCGGAATACATAAATTCATCTTAAATTTTACAACTTTAATTTTGTGACATTTTAAATTTTGTAGATGATCTATTATGCACTTGAACTTACAACTTTTGGTCATGTTATATATCTTTCCATATTAACAATAACAATTTTATGGTTTTTAACTTTATATATAAAATATTGGTTTGATGAGTAGAACTTAGAAATAATAATTTTTATATTTTTTAACTATTTAATAGGAGTTTAATTGATCTAATTTTACAAATTAAAACATTCAATAAAATAAGTTTACAAGTTACAGCATTTAACAAATGTAATTTTATAAATTTAAATATTTAATGAATCAAAATAAAATTTGAAGTGCTACAAAATCAAAATAGGAAAGTTTAAGAGTGAAATTATGTATTCTGGGTATTATAAAATCATAATAAGCAACAACAAAAAGGAAAAACACTATAATTCATATTAACATATACAAGATGTGTTCTAGAACAAAAACAAATCTGAAATCCCTAATGGAAACAGCATATACCTATTATTATCACTATTAAACGGTGGACTTCTCCTTTTCATCATACAGAAGCATTTCAACAACTTGTTTCATGGTGGGTCTTGCATCTTTGTCTTCATCTACACATTTTAAAGCCACCATAACAATACTTTTCAGTTGGGCCATTTCAAACTTTCCATCCAACGCAGGGTCAACAATTTTTTTCATATTACAATAATTTCCATCGATGTTTTCTCTAACCCAAGTAACCAATCTTCTGTCTTCAATTGCTGCTGGGTTTTTTCCGGTCACTATTTCCAATAATACCATTCCATAGCTATAAACATCCACTTTAGAAGTAATAGGCAAATTAAAAACCCATTCAGGAGCAATATAACCTCTAGTCCCTCTAATTCTTGAGAGCCTTGAAATTTCATGGCTCTCTCTTTTTATTGGATGAGACAAACCAAAATCAGACAATTTTGGCTGATAATAAGAGTCTAACAGTATGTTTTGAGGCTTAATATCACAATGCAGAACCCATTCTAAGCACTCTTCATGTATATAAGCAAGACCTTTTGCAGTACCTAAAGCAATACTAAATCTCTTTTTCCAATCAAGTTTATTAGAAGAAAGATTTTCTGCTAAAGACCCATTTTCCATGTACTTGTAAACCAAAAGCCTGTGTTTTCCTTCTGCACAATATCCCCATATTTCTATTAAGTGCATGTGATTAAGCTTCCCAATGAGACTAACTTCAGCTCGAAATTCGGCTTCTCCTTGATTATCTTCATTGATTATTAGTTTCTTTATTGCAGCAACTCTATTGTCAGATAATACTCCTTTATACACAATGCCTCCTCCTCCTCTTCCAATCTCTTCACTGAAATCTTGTGTCGCCTTTTTTAACTGAGAGTAAGTGAATTTTCTAAACCCTGTTGTAATTTGTAAGTAACCTTGATTAGCTATTTCAACTGATGAATTCTGATGTGTTCTTATCAAGAAACACCATACCAAGAAAATAGTAAGGAATTCAATTGCTCCAATTATCCAAGAAAACCAAAGAACGATTATTAATCCATTCTGATGGCTTTTTGCATATACTCTGTCAAGAACTTTGATAACTTCGTTTGCACAAACTAACTTGGATTCTTGGACTTGCTCAGAGGCAAAAGAAGCTGTTTTTGGCACTTTTAAGTAAATATTTCCTTCAAAATTTGGTGAACGACGTCCGTTTAACAATAGAGTCTTGGCGAAACAGTATGGAATATCACTAGGATAATCATGCTTGATGAATTTTAATTGAAACCCTTTACAATCACATCTTTGCAAGCATACGTTTTTACACATATCTAATGTGTAATTTGGATAGAAATGGAAATCGTACCCATAAAACTCCACGTGCCTTACTTGAGCAAAACTGGTCTCCTCATTTCTTGAACAAGAAAGATTGAACTCTGGTTCACAACCCAAAGACCAGTCATTATCATTCTTAGTCTTGAATCCTTTTAGACAAGAACACTTCCTACCAAAACTAGGATCATAGTTGCATATACTATTAGGCCCACAAATCCCATGAATCCTACAAGGTTGAGACATAGCTTGCCATGAAACACTCCATTTGTCTCTCTCATTTTCTCGACTGTACAATCGAAGATTTCCATCGAAATCAATAGTCAATCTTCGCTGGATTTTGACTCCATAATCTGCTGACATGAAACTGAACCCATCAGAAGAACTGAAATTTCCATAAGGATCAAAAGAAGCTGCTCTACTATTATTGTAACTAGATCTTCCAGCTTCCCAACTCATAAGCTCAGGATCCGGCCAATAAATACTTGAAGTATCTAGACCATCATAAAGAAGACGAAGAACGTTATCATTATCGAAATAAAGCTTGTAGAATCCTGAACTATAGTTGCTTTGACTTCTTGATGACACAAGTTCTCTATCTTTAATGAGTGACTGCAATGGAAGAAGGGTATTCGTAGGAAAATCGAAACTTTGCCATAAAACAACACCTTCCAAATTCTTCAGTACCAGATTTCCGCTTTCTTGAAGGTATAAATTAACTGAAGATTCTGATGCTGTGTTTGTTGACCAGACTGTGACCCGGCCGGCGTCCGTTAAGACAAGGTTACCGGATTTCAATAAAAAAAGCTTTGACAGTTTACCGTTTACTGGTTGATCACGGTTTGCCATCCAAACTACTGTGCAGTTGTTGTTGCAGAATGGTTCATTGTACCATATAGCAAAGCAGTAAGCGTTTTCGCCGACCGGGAAGAATCCGGCGATGAAAGTGTTACTTGGTGACATCAAGACGTTATTTTTGTCTACTGATAAAGATGAGTCTTTTGTTAGAGTATTATCAGAAGCTGAAGAGAAGAAAGGAGAGAATAGAATGAAAGGTAGAGCAAGTAAGAGAAAGGGCATTGCCATGGATTATGTTGAAGTTGAGAGAAGTAGACAAGTTTTTGAAGGACTCTTGTCTGTTTCCTCGGAGTGGGATGAATTTTGCAGCTGAGATTTGGATGAGAGGTTCTAGCTTCATGTGGGATCTTAGATTTGGGATGGGATTTGGTTCAATAATCAAGAATTGAGGTATAAATATAGGGCTTTAAACTAAGCATTGGAGAGAGATTTAAACTCAGATCTATTGTCAGACTATATATGCATTTATCACTGAACTATGCCTTGATGTACAATTTATTATATATTAATTAATCATACAACAATAAATGCGTTTTTTTAATTGAAAGAATTAATATGGTGTAAACTTTTATTTCTAGAATTTCAAAAAAGAAATAGTGGACATATTTTTTTCGATAGAGAGTGTGTTTTTTTTTATATATTTATGTTTATTTTGAAAATCTCCATTTTTAAAGTTATAATACTAGAATATTAAAGTTGATATTTTGAAATAATATAATTTTGAGTTTGCAATCTATGTAAGTATATAGTTCTTCCATTCTATATACATGTACGCTTCGTTTCTTTTTCTTTTTTTCTTTTTTTTTTTTTTTTTTATATAGTTCTTCCATTCTAGTATAACATGTACGTTCCGTTTCTTTTCTTTTTTCTTTTTTTTTTTTTTTTACTTGTTTTTTTTTTTTTTTTTTTTTTTTTTACTTGTTACATATTATTGTTCTGCAAATCTCGATTAAGGTATTTTTATAACAAGTCACAAATCTCAGGAATTTTTTTTATAGGTTAAGCCGGCTCCGGCAGACCGAAATACAAACTAGAGTAATTTAATTTTTGACCAAAATGAAAGCAAGAAATTAAAGCAGATTCCAACCAACAGACAACAGTTGAGACTGAAACATCTATGTTTAATGAGGTCTCAACTGTTTTAAATTTTTAATGATTTTATTCATTAAAATATCTTAGCTTATTTAATAAAAAATTACATGGTGTATGCCATACCTTCCATTATTGACCATAATGGTCCAATTCACTATTATGTGATTCCAACAATAATGTTGATTTTAGAAAACAACTAGCTTTGAGTTGGCAATAATTTGATGTTGAAAAAATGCTGAGTGTGTTAACTATTAAATGTACAACCTAAGGAAATTAATTTGTCGTCTTATATAATTTTTATATTAAAGTAGTTTTGAAAAATGCATCAATATATATATACCTCACCAACAATTTGAATTATAAAAATTATAAAGGAAATAGTCATCGGAAAATAAAGATTTGGTTGTCAGTAAGGATCGCTTAAAACTTCAATTAAATAGAACTATTATTGACAATGATTGACATTATGAAAGGAAAAATTAACAATATTTGTAAAAGATTGAAATTGATTTGCTACTTGAGGTATTTTCGAAAAAATTAATCGTTTTGATAATTGTTAACTGTTATAATAGCATTTAGCTTTTAGCTAAATATTACATTAGTTAACTTTTTATAAAATGATATCTTTACTTTTAAAAGTTAATTCAAACGCTATATTACTGAACACTAGGGCGGCACCAGTCAAATTGATAAAAAAAATATTTATAAAATAGTTGTAAATTGATAAAAAAAATTTAAAAAAATGTATATTGAATGAATAAATTTAGATTTTTTAATCTAATTGACCACACTAAAAATCAAATTAAATAAATGACTCGGACTGAAATATCATTAAGTGTTTTGACCGGTGAAAATTATTTGAAAAATCTGTTGTTAAACACAGTCTTGAGTATTTGAAACACCCCGAATTTTTATTTTCGAAAACTTTCGAATTTTTAATAAATCAAAAATATCGACTTTCAACTATTTGGGCTATATATACGACTTTCAACTATTTTTGGGACTATATATATATCAAACAATCTCAATTCGAGCCCAAGTTTGCTGAGTTGGGCCTAAGCCCAAATTTAATCATCGGAATTGTCGATTTGAGAATTGATTTAAAATTTTGAGAAATAATTACGAAACCCCTTAATTTAAACTTATATGAATATGTAGAATTAATTATTCTTAAAACCAAATATTGTTACTATTAATATTTATTATTAATTATTGAGTAAATGAGAAAATATTATGGAACCAAACTAAATAATAAAATATAAAATCGAACTGGACTTTTAAACCAAATTGACCTTAATCGAAAACCACACAAACTCGAAAACCACACGAATAATCCGGAAAACCGAGTGAAAAACCTGCAAAAACCTGCAAACCAAACAAATGAGACCAAATCACTAAATCGGACCGAACCGATTTGAATCAAACCAGAATGTCCTAGATTTTTCTTTTTCCTTCTTTTCTTTTCCTCCTTCTTCTTCTTCAGGCACGCGACTCCTCCCCCTTTCCCTTCCGGATCCAGCCACTTGAGCTTCTCACCGATGTCTCCTCGCCGCTGCAAGTCCGGTCTTGTCACAGCGCCTCTCCGTTCAACTCTAATGCAAAAGGCTGTCGCTGGAAGCTGCGATCGCAACAGCCCCTCCTCCCTCTTTCTTCGATCGCGACAGCAGCGCCATAACTCAATGCCATCGAGTCCGCCACAGACCACGCTTGATCTCACTGTCTCCGTCCCCGGCTTGCGATTCAGGCGAGTGCGACTCTCTTCCATGGATTGGCAGCAACGTTGGTGGCGGCTCTATGCCCTGGCGAGCCGTTTCAACCAACGAGAGGGACTGATCTCGCTAAACCGACGCCGGAATCGGACTTCTGGCAGACGAGTCTAATGGTGTAAAGAGTGCTCAGTTTCGGGCAAGTTCGATTTTCCGACCACCGTGTACGGCAGCTGGCGGTAGCGGTCCGGCAACACTCCGGCGAGGCCCTGAGGGACAAAATATTCCTCTCTTCAAGCTGATCACGGAATCGTCGCTCGATTCTCAATTGGTACGTTCTAAGACAAAATTCTCAATTTTTTTTTGTATATAAAGAGCTAATTGATTAATGAATTTAATTGGGTTATTAAATAGATTGAATTGAATAATAAGAAATTAAATTATTGGAATAGCTTAAATGGATTTAACTTAAAATATATGAACATTTTATAGTCTTTTGTATAAATAAATTAGATTGATTAAGTGTGCGTATTTGGATAGCGTAACATGATTTGTTAACTGTTAAGGACTTCTAGAATAATGTAATTGTAAATTAAGTTTAGAACATTGTTCAAATTAAATTAATGATTTATTATTATGATTAGTGATTTAAGGAGAAAGAAATAAATTAGAATTAGTAATTAGTTAACTAGATAACCATTAGTTTAAAACTAGCGATTGTGCATAAGAAAAGTAAGGCGAATTTTAAGTTGGTTAACGGTTAGAATTCGAAATTTTGATAAATTAAGATTTGGGAGGCCTAGACCATTTGTTCGATATTTGATATAAAAATCGAATTGAATAGGTAGAGTAGTAAGTTATAATTAGTGATGGTTAAAAATATGTTTTAGCTTGTTTAACAAAATTAGTTTACCGCTTAAAAAGCTAATAATTTTAATTATTATACTTAATAAAATGATCTTATATGGATATTATAGAATAGTTGAAATTTTGGTTGAGTTGATTGATATTGTGTTATGGGAAGGAGGATGGGATTTTAAATTGATTGATTGCCCGACGGATGGGCGTGTGCATTGATTGATAAAGATATAATGTATTGTTGCATATGTGAGCAAGGTAGATAGTTCAATTTTTAGGGGAGGTGCTGCCGAAATTTTTGATTAAAAATTTAGGACTAAAATTTTTTTATTAACACTAATGAATAAGTTTATTTAGATTAAGTTCTATAATTTGGTATATAATAATATAGTGCTCTGATTATTTACCTATCTTTATTATTCATTTAATTATTTCATATTTATTTTATTTATTCATTATTATTGTTAATATTGTTATTTATTTTATTATTGTTGATTATTGTTAATACTTATTTTATTTATTATTTGCATTGATTTTGGGATGTTTTTAATTGTGCATTGCATTACGTGTTTTAATTGATTAATATGTCTGCATTTGATTTGCAAATGTTTGCAATTAATTGTGTGTGATAATGGCTATGCTTTGGTTTGTGTGGAATTGGGATGAAGTGGACCACCGTGGGTTTGTGAGGGACGGTTTGTGATTATGGATCCGAATATTTATATGATATTTGACCGTCGGCCGAAGAAAATGCGGAGATCGCCGCCCCCGTGCTGCAACCTGATGATATGGATTTATGTGGAAAACCACAGGATGGCTTCTTGTTGTTGCGCACCTGATTAATTCTAGATTTGATTGTAGCCGCAGGGTGGCCTCCTGTTGGTGAGCACTTGATGATCTTAGATTGGATGGAGACCACCGGGTTGCCTCCTGTTGGTATGGAAAAGAAAGACGGAATGGAAATACAATGAGAGGACTGGTTAGTGAGGATAAACCCAGTTGCGCCGTATGGGGGATCGGCTCCCTGGTGCACATGTATGAGGAGGGCGAGCCATGTGTGAGGACGGCTCGTTTGGGGGTTTCGGTGACGCCACAGACCAATTTCCACGTGATGTGATATTAATTGTGATTACTGGTGATATGTCATTTGTGTGACTGGCTGTATGAGCATATAACTAGTCGGACGACTAGATTAATATGTTTACACATTTGTGTGACTGCGTGTGTGGTGTAAAATTATTACTCCTTAGAAAACTCACATGTCTTGTTTGATTTTTTCAGGAAGTAGGTTTTTCCTTTAATCCAATTTAGGCTATGTTTCTTCAGCGCAGGGCAATAAAGAATTTTTTCTAGTTCCATAATTATTTTGCTATGTAATTATGTGTATGAAAGCTATGTATACTAACAGTTAAACAGTTAGGTGAACTCCGCAGTTGTAGGGATTTGTATAACTTTTAATCGTTTATTATTATAGGACGAGATATTAATGTGAATCCATATTTGTAAATGGTGATGGCTTGTTAATTAGGCCCGAACTGTGGAATGTTGTAGCGATAAATTCGGGCCGAGATTTATAAAAATCTTGAGGTTTAATTTTCATAATCATATGGACTGAAATGTTTAATATTATATTGAGATAGTAAAATTTTTAGTGTTTCAGGCTTACTAACGGGCCTCGGGGGCCTTTAAGCTTACCTGGGCCCCTAGTGCCGGTCGGCACACCACGGAAATGGGTCGTGACAAAGTTGCTCAGAGTTGGTATCAGAGCTTAGGTTTTAAGGTTTTAGGAACACAACCTGCGGAGTATATGGAAATTTCTTTATGTTGGGAATCGGCCGTAAACCAAATCATAAGGAAGGAACTTTGTGACTTTCCTCCCTAGGGATGGTGGAGAGACGCACTAGACCCTATGAGGTGGGAAAATCCCACACTTTATTGCGTAGATCTTTATGATTTACGAAAGGAAGTAATTAGAGGTTTGAAGTTGAAAATAGAACAATAAGATAATCCATCGCAATACCTATAGGGGCTAGAAGTTGGTAATCAACCTTAGAGGCTAGGGAATAGAGTAATACCTGATGGTGGTGGATTGGCCTGATCACCCAGTACACTACTTTTCATGTGAGCTCTATTCCTATCAGTGAATAGGATAGTATAGAGAATAAATAGGTTTTTCATTTGTATGGCGCATTGATGAACTTTGGATGATTAGGAATTAGTATTTTAGTATTCAGCTCGGCTACTGAATTTTTTTAGAATTTATTCAAAAGATAATCTTTTTATTGTTTTATTTACTTGATATTTGATATTTAAATTTAAAACCCAATTTTAATTTTGAATTCAAAATTGTGTTATCATTTTAATTTTGAATTCAAAATTGTGGTTATGATAAAATAATGTTGAAATTGATTTATTCAATATAGATAAATTATTTTTAAAAAGTTGTCTATTTATATCACGGGGCCAATTTGGATTAGACTTCATAAAATGAAATGATTTGGGATAGTAAATTAGAAAGATTTGAAAAGAAGAATAAGACAAGTGGTGATGATGATATTAAGTAAAGTAGACAGTTAGTGGCTAAGTAAGAACATAAACATTGGAAAGGTTTGAGGAGACAATTCTAGTTTAGAAGCTAGATTTCAACCAGAGTTAGAGTGTAGGACTGTCTATTATTAGTTAATTAAATTGAATTTGAATGAATAATCAATCAAATAAAATTTTAGAATGAATAATCAATCAAATATAATTTTATTAAGAATCAGTCGGTATAATATTGATGTAAGCTAATTTAGGAATTTAGGATAAATAATAATGTTAGGTTGAAATGCTGATAGTAAATGACTTATGATTTACAATGATAAGTAGTATAAAGGGGAACGAGTAGACGAAATAAGTAAGAAGAGAACTCTAACATCTTCATAGTGGACTGATAAGCAACATAGCTGGAATGTAAATTAGCAAAAAGTGTTATTACGAAAATCAATTTTATTGATAAGTTTTTAGGGTAACTTGAGAGATTAAGCTAATTAAAAAAAAAAAAATCTTTGTAGAGGCATGATAACTAGTGGTACAATGAGGTCATTAGATCAGGAGCTATCTAATAATTACACCCATCTATAATAAGAATATTATAGGGAAAACAAGACATATATAGGTAGAATCAAGAGAGTGAGCCCAAGACGCCTTGTGATATTAATAGACAATGAAAGTTACAAGACGATTTTTTTTTAAAAAAAAAAGTTATGGATTAAAGTAGTGGTTTCTGAAAACTTTTTTGATTAAAGAAAAGTTTTAGTAATAATAATAATGGTAAATTAAACGAGTTAAATCTTAATTATTAATAAGTAAATTAAATTCAGTCGTTTTGTATTTGGTAAACTATATGTTTAGGTTTCATAAAGGAATGCCTTAATAAAATTTAAATCTTCAAAAGGAAATTATATAATTTTAAGAAAAAAATAGATGACATATATTTATGCATTCTTTCTTGAATAAATCCGGTTTTTTTGTAAAAGTTTATTTAAAGCACAGATTTTTCTAAAGATTTCAGTAGCTGACTGAAAAATAGTAATTGGAGATTTAAGGTAATGAACTCAAGTTCTGTAAGTTTTAACCTAGGAGGTACTAAATAGGATGGTTGTGCGATAGAATTCAATTAGAATAACCTGACTATTTTTCTTTCCTCGGTTCATATTATCACTCTTGAGCTATCTCCTAGTAATGGAAGTAATTTCTTATGACTTTGAATTCCCTATGTATCCATTTCTTACCGTCTCCTGTTAGATTTCAATTCCGAGGACGAATTGTCTTTAAGGGGGGGAGATTGGAAACAACCCCGAATTTTTTTATTTTTCGAAAAACTTTCGAAATTTTTAATAAATCAAAAAATATCGACTTTCAACTATTTGTGGCTATATATATATCAAACAATCTGCAATTCGAGCCCAAAGTTTGTGAGTTGGGCCTAAGCCGCAAATACATCATCGGAATTGTCGATTTTTGAGAATGATTAAAATTTTTGAGAAATAATACGAAAGACCCCGTTAATTTAAGCTTATTATGAATATGTATGAAATTAATTATCTTAAAACCAAATAATTGTTACTATTAATATTTTTTATTATTAATATTGAGTAAATGGAGAAAATATTATGGAACCAAACTAAATAATTAAAAATAAAATCGAACTGGACTTTAAACCAATTTGACCTTTCGAAACCACACAACAGCTTGAGAAAAAAAAAATAAATAAATTTAAAAAAAAAAAAAACCTGCAAACGCAAAACCAAAATGAGACCAAATTCAACTAAATCGGACCGAACCCGATCCGATCAAACCCGGAATGTCCCCTAGATTTTTCTTTTTCCTTCTTTTCTTCCCTTCTCTTCTCAGGCCGCGCGACTCCTCCCCTTCCCCTTCCGGATCCAGCCACCTGAGCTTCCTCGCCGATGTCTCCTCGCCGCTGCAAAG